TCTTTGGTGTTCATGGGTAACACTAAAAATATATACAAGAAAAAATTTTTTTTAAAGATTTATTTTTATTATTTTTTATTGGAAAGGCGGATATACAGAAAGGAGAAACAGAGAGGAAAATCTTCCGTCCGATCATTCACTCCCTAAGTGAGCGCAACGGCCGATGCTATGCCATCCGAAGCCAGGAGCCTCTTCCGGGTCTCCCACGCGGGTACAGGGTCCCAAAGCTTTGGGCCGTTCTCGACTGCTTTCCCAAGCCACAGGCAGGGAGCTGGAAGGGAAGCGGGGCTGCTGGGATAGAACCGGCGCCCATATGGGATCCCATATGGGCATGCAAGGCGAGGACCTTAACCACTTGCACCACCGAGCTGAGCCCGAAAATTTTTTTTTTTTAATTAAAAGATACTAGGGGTCAGCACAGTGGCTTAAAAGATTAATCCTTGACATCAGCACACCAACACGCCCTGGGCCTGGGGACCTGTGCACTCGAGGGTACAAGGGTTGTGGATTGCTCAGGATAGGGAGTACTGGGATGTACGGGGGAGGGGGGTACTGTTGAGGGAGTATGCCCCAGGTGAGGAATGGCTTCTGGGGGACTTCCTCCACAGACCAGGCTACTGCACTTGCAAGTACAGGGGGGCCTGGGACCAGGTGTTTTGAAAGCAAGAAACTGGAGGACCTTTCTGGGTCAGACCAATCCACCCACCCACATGGGAGACCAAACTGGGTTAGTTGACACTGACCACCACCCACTAGCACACACAAAAGTTAGGACTGGGCAGTCGATCTGGCAGAGCTAGATCACAGTACCCACCACTGAGTATTGAAACAGGGGATGAGTCACATTAGGCTGGTCCATGACACTAACCAGCATGTGAGAGAACTGTGTCTGGTGCAAATTCTGAAAGAGATATGTGGGCTTACCCCAGTGGGACTGCAATATCCACTGGCTTGCTTGAGAACTGGGCATAGAAGATGGATCAAGCTAGGTATGACCATGGAACTCATCAACATTTGTGGGAACTGGGGTTAGAAACAGGCTGGGCTGGTCCAGGCTGTAGCACCCACAGCATCTGCTGGTTTACATGAAAGCCAGGTCTTGGGGTGGGGCAGATATGGCTGGGCTGTAGCACGACCAGTGAGAGCCAGAATGGGTGTGGGCTGGACTGGCAGGGTCACAGTGTCTGCCAGTAAATGTTGGGACTGGAGGTGGGCCAAGTCAGGCTGAGCCAAAGACCCATAAGGTGTGGGAGATCTGTGACTGGGGACTGGTCTGATAGGAGAGCTTGGGGAACATCCTGGTTATGATGCAGCCTCAGCTGCTGACCATAAGAACTGAGAATGGAGCCCATCCAGGCCAGACTACAATATCCATTGGCATATATATGGATCATGTCTGGGGATCGGCTGAGCTGAGCCAGTCTGTAACACCCATTAGCAGGTGCAAGTGTCAGGACAAGGTGCAGGCCAGTCTGTGTTGGAACACACACAACACCCCTCAGTTCACATTAGGGTTGGGACTGGGTTCTGGCCTGGCTGGGTTAGGCTGCAGCAACAACAAATCTTCCCTCTTGGGCCACTGCTCCCACTGAGAGATGGGCCTAGGGGCAGACCTAGCTGGGCAGGGTTACAACACTAGTCAGTGTGCTTGTGAACTGGGTTTCGGGAGGGCCAGGCTAAGCCAGTACATGCCAGGCCTCTGCATCTGCTGGCATGTACAAGGGCCAGAATAAGTGCCCACTGGCCAGGTTTTGCCATAGCATCTGCTGGCAAGTACCAAGAAAGGATACAAGCTGTGTCAGACTGGACCACAATATCCATGGAAACTGCAAGATCCGAGGTTGGGAATTGGCCCAGAATGGAAACTGTGGGCAATCCCCAGCTGGGATGCAGCTCCCACTGATGTGCATGAGAGCCAGGGCTGGGGGAGGACCACATTGGACAAGGTGGCAGCACCTAAGCTAATCTGCAACACCCACAGATATAGACAAGAGCTCAATGGGATGTGATACAGATTGGACTAGTCTGGTGCACATACTGGCATGCATAGAAACCAGGGTCCGGGGCAGACTTGGTGGGGATTATTGGATTCAGCTCAACTAGGTTGTAGTTCCCATTGGTATGCAAAGGGTCAGGTCTGTGGCACACTGGATTGGGCTGGGCCACAGTACTTGTTGGTTTGAGTAGGACATATGCTGGTCCCAGAACTGACCACACAACTACATCACCAGTGTATGTGTAGGCTGATACAGATCACAGATTGAACCAGAACCTGTACTGACTGGCACATGCAACAGTCAGGTCTGGGGTCACCTCAGATGAGGTTTCTTGGAGGACTCTTAACTGGACCACTGGACTCAAAACTTTTCCCACAGGGAATATCATAGAATTTGTGGTCCAACCTTGGAGTGTATGTGTCAGAACTGGGCCTCCTCAATTGCTGATGTTCTGTGCAGCGGACAGCACACCCAGGTGCATATGAGAGACAATGATGGCCAGTTCATTTAGACCTGCAGAGGATGTCAGGTGTCATGTTAGAAGATGGAGAGCAGGGCCCGGCATGGTAGCCTACTGGCAAAAATCCTCACTTTGCATGTGCCAGGATCCCATTGTACATCAGTTCTAATCCTGGTGGCCCCACTTCCCATGCAGCTCCCTGTTTATGGCCTGAGAAAGCAGCAGAGGACGGCCCAAAGCCTTCAGATCCTGAACCCATCTTCCAGGGGACCTGGAAGAGACTCTTGACTTTGATTTTTCTCGGCTTCAGCCATTACGACCATTTGGCAAATGAACCAGCAGATGGAATATCTTTCTTTCTGTCTCTCCTTTCTGTAAAATCTGCCTTCCCAATTAAAAAAAAATCTTTTAAAAATTAAGAGATATTAATGCTTTTAAATTGAATGATTTAATATTAAGGATACCAAATTTCTCCATATTAATCTATCATTTTAATGTCATCCCAAAATTCCATTTAAAGTTTTTGAGACACTTGATCATGCTAGTTTAAAATTTATGTACAATAATAATAATGTTTGAGCAAAGAAAATTAAAAACAGAAATCCGTCTTTCTAGATATTAATACATAGTGCAGCATCATACTAATCAAAACAGTAGGATAGGGCCTGCCATGGTAGCCTGGCAGCTAAAGTCCTTACAATGCCAGTTCCAGGATCCCATATGGGCACCAGTTCTAATCCCAGTGGCCCCGCTTCCCATCCAGCTCCCTCTTGTGCTCTGGGAAAGCAGTTAAGGACGGCCCAAAGCCTTGGGACCCTGCACCCACGTGGAAGACCTGGAGGAAGCTCCTGGCTTCGGACTGGCATAGCATCGGCCATTACAGCCACTTGGGGAGTGAATTAAAGAATGGAAGATCTTTCTCTCTGTATGTCTGACTTTCCAATAAAAAATAAATAAATCTTAGGGAAAAAAAAAAACAATCGGATACTAGCCCAAGAAGAAATAGATAAAGCAATAGAACAAAGTTGAGCAGACATGACCTTTCTATTGTGGAAACTTCAGGATAATAATGAGGACACCACAAGCTCACAAAGACAAGTTGTTGAAAGACCAGCCTGCTAAATACAGAAGAAAAACCTTGATTTCTGTCAACCAAAAAGTTGTACAAAAGTATCCACAGTAACCAAAGCACTAAATGAAATTTTAAAACTATATAAAGACTTTCAAGAGTATCTTTGAGACATTGGAAGACAACTGTTTAAGAAGTCTAAAATATAAAACAAAAAGCAAAGCATTCAATCCAGGTATCCCATGGGGAATATAGTTAAGTGTATAGAATAGAATACCACAAAATAGTTGCAAACAGCAGAGTAACTGTAGAAAATTAGATCTTTAATGCCATTTTGGTTAATTAAAAATATACCTACTGAATAGTATTATAACATGCAGCATAAGCACAAACAGAAGTAATTTCCTTTTTTAATAAATTTATTTATTTTATTGGAAAGGCAAGCATCTCATCAGATTCATCAGAATGTTTGTCTTCGTGGTGGGGGCGAGAGGTTAGAGTAACAGCTGAGGGGACAGGGAGAATTGGAGGTCCCAATGAAGACAAACGCATGGACTGAGAACTGTGTTGACTTAACCCTTGGCACCTGAGGTACACCATGAAAACTGAAAAGCAAGAAGTAGATGTGTTCATCAGCATGGAAAGATCACTATCCAATGGAAAGAGAACTACAAATACAGGGAAGTTCAGAAAACATGGCAAGTTAGATAAGTAGAAATTTATAGAGTTCTGGAAGGGCATTTTTAAAATTTATTTTATTTTTTTTTCCAAAGATTTATTTTTATTATTTTTTTTTTATTGGAAAGGCGGATATACAGAGAGGAGAGACAGAGAGGAAGATCTTCCGTCCGATGATTCACTCCCCAAGTGAGCGCAATGGCCGATGCTATGCCGATCTGAAGCCAGGAGCCTCTTCCGGGTCTCCCACGCAGGTGCAGGGTCCCAAAGCCTTGGGCCGTCCTCGACTGCTTTCCCGGGCCACAGGCAGGGAGCTGGAAGGGAAGCGGGGCTGCCGGGATTAGAACTGGCGCCCATATGGGATCCCGGGCGCACAGGGCGAGAACCTTAACCACTGCGCCACCGCGCCGGGCCCTGGAAGGGCATTTTTGTGCACACTTTGCCACCTGTAGGAGACAGCCTTCAGACTAGAGAAGGTCTCCCCAAGAGGCCACTGAACTTATCTAGACAATAAGACGCTGGACTTTATGCTAGATATGTGTTTGCAAGGAACGAATCTCAACTGAACTTGAACTGTGGTTATGCAGCAAGGTGGAGGAATCCACCATGGGGGGAGGGGTATAGGAGGGGTGGGGGGAATCCCCAGTGACTATAAAACTGTATCACATAATACAATGTTAACAACAATAAAAAAAATAAAATACTGTTGCTTTAAAAAAAAAGAGAGATTTAAAATACGTTGCCAAACATCTATCAAATTGAATGTCTCCCCTTTTCCTTTTATCCTATAGACCCCATGCTCCTTCCTTTTCCATGTATCCTAAGACCCTCACCTGTAATAACTCAGAGGGGCCCACGGGCGCGGGGATCATGACTGGAACGCAGAGCCTGTATGATGAGGACAGTGCCAACGACGATGCCCACCAGGCCCACCAGCAGGCCCAGGGCACAAACCACGGTCTCTGTCGTCTCAGGCATCTGGATCGGCTCCTGGGCCTCTGGGGAGGAGAATGACGAGCTGAGATTAGAAGGTGTGGGGAGGAGAGGGGCTGACCTGGGCTGTGCATGGGAGTTAAAGGTTACGGACCATTGGACAGCTTCCTAGGACAACCAGAGGACCGAGACCCACCAAGTGGGGAAGGCTGGTACAGAGGGCAAAGGGTCGTGGGAGAGGCGGGTCCCCGAGAGGTTATATAGAGGAAAAGGAGGCTCCGTACCCCAGTGCATGAGAAGTGGCCGCTCCAGGCCCCAGTGCTCCACCTTGCAGTCATACACATCGTCAGCCGTGGGCAGGAAGGTCAGGTAGTGGAACTTGTGGAACCGGAACTCTGTGCTGGGCAGGAAGACGCTCTCGGTGATGCCCTCAGTGACCAGCTGCCCATTGCGCAGCCACGTGACGTTGAGCACCGGTGGGAAGAACTTGTCGATGTGGCAGATGAGCGTGTTGGGCTGGCCCAGCTCCACAGGCTCCTTGGGAAACACCGTCACCTCGGGGGCCTCTGGAGGGGCAGACAGGACCATTGAGCCCGCCATTCTGGATGAAGGACAAAGTCTCCACCTTAAGAGTGCCACCCACTCATCTCCCTTGGACCCTAAGAGTGCCTGTGGGTCCCTATGAATCCCATCCTGCTGATCACTCTCACTTACCTTGAACTTTCTCTTGACTGACGGGGACCCCTAGCGATGCTGAGGTCCCAGGCCACTCAGCAGGGAGACCATTCAGCAGAAGCATGTGGGTCTCCCTAGCTGTGTGCGGTCAAGGGAACCGCCTCCACCCCAAGCCTTCCCAGCTGGGCTACAGAAGACACAAAGAGAAACTGTACCGTTGGCAGCCTGGGTGTGATTGTAACGCTGGATCAAGATATTCAAGTGTTCCTTTCCGGCAGCAATATTGGCCAGCCCACCCTGAGTATCAACGGAAAAGACTTGGCCAAACTCCGGTAGACGCCAGATTGTTTGCCTCTTGTCCTCATCCACATAGAACTGCTCATCTTCATCCAACTCAAACATAATCTCCCCTGACGGTGTGTGCGTCTGTGCAAATGTGACATAAACTGACACATGGTCTGCTGCATAAATGAAGTAGAGAAAATGAGACAAACTGTAAGTGGTAGAGACTAGAGGATAAACATGAATTAATAATAAAAAGGCAGAAGAACAGGTATTTTGTCTAGCTGTAAGACACCCACATCTCGGGCCCGGCATGGTGGCGCAAGTGGTTAAGGTCCTCGCCTTGCACGCCTGGGATCCCATATGGGCGCCAGTTCTAATCCCGGCAGCCCCGCTTCCCTTCCAGCTCCCTGCTTGTGGCCTGCCTGGAAAAGCAGTCGAGGACGGCCCAAAGCTTTGGGACCCTGCACCCGCGTGGGAGACCCGGAAGGGGTTCCTGGCTTCGGATTGGCATAGCAGAAGATCTTCCTCTCTGTCTCTCCTCTCTGTATATCTGCCTTTCCAGTGAAAAAATAATAAAAATAAATCTTAAAAAAAAAAAAAAAGACACCCACATCTCTCATCATCTGGGTTCAGTTCCTGGCTTCAGTTCCTGTTCCCGGCTTCCTGCTAAAGCACTCCTTGGGAGTGATGGCTCAAACAGTTGGCTCCCTTCTATCCTTGTGACAGACCTGGCCTGAATCCCTGACCTCTGGCTCCAGATCCCATTCAACCACAACCATAGTGGGCATTTAGGAAGAGAACCAGCAGATGCGAGTGTTCACACTCTCATTCTCTCTTCCCCCACCAACAATAAGTAAGTATACAGCTAAATAAATAAATAAGATATAAGGGACTAAATGTGCAGTGCTGAGATCTTTTTTTTTTTAAAGATTTATTTTTATTTTATTGGAAGCCGGATATACAGAGAGGAGAGACAGAGAGGAAGATCTTCCGTCCGATGATTCACTCCCCAAGTGAGCGCAATGGCCGATACTATGCCGATCTGAAGCCAGGAGCCTCTTCCGGGTCTCCCGCGCGGGTGCAGGGTCCCAAAGCCTTGGGCCGTCCTCGACTGCTTTCCCAGGCCACAAGCAGGGAGCTGGATGGGAAGCGGGGCTGCTGGGATTAGAACTGGTGCCCATATGGGATCCCGGGCATGCAAGGCGAGGACCTTAACCACTGCGCCACCGCGCCGGGCCCGAGTGCTAAGATCTTATATGGGTGCAGATCCAGTCCCAGCTGCTCCACTTCCAATCCAGCTCTCTGCTAGTGGACTGAGGAAACAGTTGGAAACTGGCCCAAGTTCTTGGGCCACTGCATTCATGTGGATGATCCAGAGGAAGCTCCTGGCTCCTGGCTAACACCCAGCCATTGCAGAGTGAACTAGCAGGTGAAAGATTTCTTTCAGTCTCTCTCTTTCTGTGTAACTCTTTCAAATAAATAAATCTTCTTTTTAATTTTTTTTTAAGATTTATTAATTTTATTGGAAAGGCAGATATACAGAGAGGAGAAGAAACAGAGAGGAAGATCCTCCGTCCGATGGCCTACTCCCCAAGTGACCGCAATGGCCAGAGCTGAGCCAATCCTCCAGGTCTCCCATGTGGGTACAGGGTCCCAATTCTCTGGACTATCCTCGACTGCTTTCCCAGGCCACAAGCAGGGAGCTGAATGGAAGCAGGGTTGCCAGGATTAGAACCGGTGACCATATAGGATCCTGTCGCATGCAAAACGAGGACCTTAACCACTACACTATCGCGCCGGGCCCTAAATAAATCTTTCAAATAAAATAAATGGAAGAAAAGAGGTCAAAGGAAGGACATAACCAAAAAGAAGTCACACCATAAAGGAGAAATGCAGAGTTGACAGGGTAGAAATGTAAATGAGGAAAGAAACCAAATTGTGGGCCAGTGCATTGGGCTGACATTAGAGGGGCGCGGGTGGACTTTCCCTAAAGAATGAAGGAAGAGGAAGGACATCAAGGCAAACAGACCAGTGAATCTGAAAAAATCCTCTAAAGAGACAGAAGCCTGCCCCACCTCTCTGCCCAAATGCCCCCCACCCTTCTCATTCACGACTCCACCCCCACCCAAAGCACTCACCCTTGATGGCTGCCACCCCTCGTTGGACATTCAACAGGGAAGCCAGGGAGAGGGCCATCATGATCACAGTTCTGGTCTGGAACATTCTCTTCGCAGGGATCTGCAGTTGGCAACTATGAACACAGGAGCAGTGATCCAGCTGGGGCAGACAGGAGGCCTGAAACTGCCACCAGTGGCCAAAAAGGGTGGGGAGGAACCAGCATGGCTGGGCATGGCCAATCATTGAAATAACTGAGCTGACATCCTCTGTTGCTGGGTAAAAAGAATGCTGGAAAGGGCCCTGGACCAGCGTGGCCAGGCAACTCCAATTCATGGGTCACTTCACTACTCCGTCTCACTCAGATTATATTCCATGTTTTTGTCCATTACCTTTTTGAAAATGATTTTTAAAGTTGCTAATCAAGTTTACAAAAATATTCTGCTGATATTTAAGAATAAATACACTGTCTAGTAAAATGTATAATTAATCATTCCACAAGATCCATCTGCCTGAGATTTTAATTGTTTATATAAGCTTTATTTTTTAAATGTCTACCTTATACATATATATATATTTTTTTAAAGATTTATTTTTATTATTTTTTCATTGGAAAGGCGGATATACAGAGAGGAGAGACAGAGAGGAAGATCTTCCGTCCGATGATTCACTCCCCAAGTGAGCGCAACGGGCCGATACTATGCCGATCCGAAGCCAGGAGCCTCTTCCGGGTCTCCCACGTGGGTGCAGGTTCCCAAAGCCTTGGGCCGTTCTCGACTGCTTTCCCAGGCCACAGGCAGGGAGCTGGAAGGGAAGCGGGGCTGCCGGGATTAGAACCGGCGCCCATATGGGATCCTGGGCGTGCAAGGCGAGGACCTTTAACCACTTGCGCCACCGCGCCGGGCCCGTATATATATATTTTTTAATACAAAGACATACATAGAGGAGGAGAGACAGAGAGGAAGATCTTCCATCTGATAATTCTCTCCCCAAGTGACTGCAATGGCCGGAACTGAGCCAATCCGAAGCCAGGAGCAAGGATCTCCTCCAGGTCTCCCATGCGGGTGCAGGGTCCCAAGGCTTTGGGCCATCCTCGACTGCTTTCCCAGGTCACAAGCAGAGAGCTGGATGGGAAGCAGGGTTGTCAGGATTAGAACCAGCGCCCATATGGGATCCTGGCGCGTTCAGGGCAAGGACTTTAGCCGCTAGGCCACGCCGCTGGGCTCTGTTTATATAAGCTTTAAAGCTTGCATTTAGAGGTTTTAGTTAGCTTGAATGAAGGTGGCCTCTAAATATTTCTCTATTCCTACTTATTCTTCTAGGAAATTTTGTAGATAACTTGAATTACCCATATTTCTTTTTTTTTTTTAGAGAGATTTATTTATTTTTATTGGAAAGACAGATCAGATCTACAGAGTGAAGGAGAGAAAGAAAAAAGATCTTCCATCCATTGGTTCACTCTCAAATGATCACAACAGCCAGAGCCAAACCAATCCAAAGCCAGGAGCCAGGAATTTCTTCTGGGTCTCCCTTGTGGGTGCAGGGTCCCAAGGACTTAGGCAATCCTCTGCTGCTTTCCCACGCCACAAGCAGAGAGCTGGATGGGAAGTGGAGCATCTGGGTGCTCCACTTCAACAGCACATATATTAAAATTGGGAAGTGGAACATCTGAGACATGAACCAGAATCCACATGGGATCCTAGCGCTTGCAAGTGATGATTTAACCAACTGAGCTGTTATGCTGAGCCCCCAAATTTCTTATTATTATTTAAGTTTTTGCTGACAGGGAAGCTGACTGAATTAAAAAAAAATGATTTATTCGTTTATTTCAAAGACAGAGTGACAGAGAGGTCTTCTCCCTGTTGGTTCACTCCCCAAATGGTTGCAACAGCCAGAGCTGAGTGGGTTGAAAGTCGGGAACCAGAAGCTTCTTCCAGGTCTCCCACATAGGTGCAGGGGCCCAGACAGCTGGGCCATCTTCCACTGCTTTCCCAAGCCATAAACACTAGGAGATTAGAGATGGAGCAGCTACGACTCAAACTGACACTCACATGAAATGTCAGGTGTCAAAGGCAGTGGCTTAACCTGCATGCCACAGTGCCAGCCCCATGTCTGAAATATTTTTTCTCTTTAAATTACTATTTATTTGGATCTCTTTATTTTTATTCTTATGGATTTACTTTCTAAAGCTATTTCAGATCTCTTTCTCATTTGACCTTAAAAGCATTACAATAAAGGTAGATTTCTTTCTCATAATGAAAATAAGGAATTGAAGTCCAAAAATGGCACTCTACTTAGAGCTGTATCCTTACTTGGTAGTGTTGCTGGTATGTCTATTCACCCAGGTTTGAGGCTGGACCGAGCCCAGGCATCCCAGATGGCAGTTCTGAGGAAGACCCTGGGTCCATGCAGGTCTCTGAGAGCAAGAGATGTGGATGACTGCTAACTCTAAACCCCTCTTTGCTCAAAGGAAAGACAGACAGACTGTAAGACCCAGTTTAAATTCTTGGAGAATTTTTGCTTCTCTCTTCCTTCTTTCTTTTTTTTTTTTTTAATTTTTATAAGATTTTATTTTGACATTTTTTACATAGTTAATTAGGGTAAGAAGGTTCAAGGGCTACATGAAAGTGGATAATACTAGTATGTTTTCCATATTGTTACCTTCATGTTTAAAGGGGGTTATTTAAGGGAGAAGGCCCACCCAATTTCCCACCCTCCCCAGGTCCCAGATGTAGGGCATGCTCTGAGGTTCTTGCTCAAGTGGTTTTGATATTGCCACAGTCATGAATCGCTGTCAATCTTGCCACTCCAAGCACTATGAGATCCCTGAAAAATCAACTGATTGACATAGTCCATCATAGCTGAGATGGTTGGTTGACCTGTTCTGTCTTCTCTCCTTTCTTCGTTAGGGTTCTGAGTCCAGCATTTAGATTAGGAAGATCTCCAAAGAAACTTCTTGTATGTGCTAACAAGTACAGGGCCTGGCACCGTCCATCACTCCAATCAGCTGGTGGTTGCAATTGCTGGGTTTTCACTCCCGACTTCCACTGGAACCAATGGGTGTTGCAGTCCAGCCTGGTTCTGCCCAGCACATACTTGGCCCTCACATAAACCAGCGGGAGCTGTAGCCTAGTCAGAGCAACCCACAATAACCCCCACCAGGCCCACTCCCTACCCTGGTTTGCCAGTAAGTGTAGCAGTAATCCAGTCTGTCCCACACCCCATTCCACCCCAGCCGCTATCTTAGTTATCTTAGTTTTATGTCCTGCGAAAGTGGTAACCCAAGAGGGATGAGCCCACTATTTCCCTCCCAGGCCTCTCCCACTCCCAGATTCCAGTTGATGCTGCGTCTAAGCCCAAACAACCCTTGCCCACTTTAATTTTGCTTGCACCAGTAGGAATAATCTGCCCAGCCCGGCTTTTCCCTGATCTGGTCCGCATGAGGCGCACAGGTGTGGTAGCTCTGCCTAGTCTGGTCTGCCCCCATCCCAGCCCATGCTCTCCTGCGGAAGTAGCTGTCCTGCAAAGGAACCCTCCCTTATTCCCCTGCCGGCTCTGCCCACTTCCTTTCTTGTTCTCAGGCTGGTAGGGCGCTGCGGTCACTTCCGGTACAGGCAACCTCACCTCGGCATTCCATAATGTGCACTAGTCTTTGTTGCGACCAACCCTAGGTCGACCCACACTGGTGCCTGGATTTGCCAGTGGATAATGTGGACAGATTCAGCCTGGTCTTGCCCCCACATCAGCCAATTGTATGCCAGTGGGTAGCTTTCCATGGCCTTTTCTGGGCTGTTTCCTATCATGTTTCTTGCGTTTACCTGCCAGGTCTGTGTCCTGCCAGAGGAGTTGCCCAGGCTCCTCCATCAGAACCTCTCCCAATGCCAGGTTTCACGCTTACCAGTGGGTCCATGAGCCAACCCTACTCAGTCCACCTCCTGTAATAACAGGATCTGTGGCTTTTCCTGTCTGGCCTTCCACCCAATCTGGTTCTTGCTGTTGGATGTTCCAGCCCAGCCATGGTTTGTCTATACCCACATATGGCTCACACATGGCTCAGTAGGGGTTTGAGACCCTGCCTGGTCCATCCCACATCTGCCCTGGTCCTCCAGAACACCAGGGGGAGTCGGGGTCCGGCCCGGTTCGGTGCATCCAATCCCAGTCCACACTTGTGCCAAGGGAGACTACAACTGTTTCCAGATCAGAACGCAGCTCCCCTTCCAGGCCATGTGCCTCTTGGTGGGAACCTCAGCCCAGCTAGGGTTGTCCCCTTTGCTCCCCAACCGGGTCTGTTCCCAGCCATAGATCACTTGCCTGCCAATGGATGCTCTGACTCAGCTTGGCACAGCTCCTCACCTGTCCCGATCTCTGCCTTAGACACTGTGGCTTAGCGTCCCTGGCTCCCACAGACCAGCAGGTACAAGAACCTAGCTCGGCAAGACCTCTGTGCCCTCCTGGTTTCTAGTTTTACTTGTGGGCTAAGGGTTGTTCAGTCGTGCCTAATCTACTCTGTTCCATTACCAGTTGACACATTGGCCAACTGTTGGAGCTACTTTTGAAGGACAGGCCCCAAGCCCTAGCTTCTGCATGACTGGTATTTGGTACTCAGAATTATTAGTGATTTAAAGTTTTGCTAAGGAAGAGTTACTGCCTGTTTCAGGTCCAAGAAGCACAATGGGTTCAAACTGGAGGGAATTAAGCAGCAACTCAAAGAACCAAATCCCCAGAGCTCCCCGGCCGGGCGGCCAGCAGGCAGAGCCTGGCACCAAATGGCGCATTGGCTGCCCGGGGACAGCTCAGCACATGGCGGCTGTGCCCATGGCGGCTGTCTGGGATCCAGGCATGAGACGCCCCGTCCTGAGACCCACCAGCTGCCAGGAGGCTGCTGGAGGTTTAAATAACCCAGGCCCAAGGTCGCGCCCCTCCCAAATCCCATTCACCGCCCCATGAGGGCGGCGGGTGGGTGTCGGGCCTGCCCAGTCCCGGAGGCCTCCCCCTCGGTCTACTCACCCCGAAGGAAGCGGCCCCCGGAACCAGCAGGCCCGGGGACAGCTCAGCACATGGCGGCTGTGCCCATGGCGGCTGTCTGGGATCCAGGCATGAGACGCCCCGTCCTGAGACCCACCAGCTGCCAGGAGGCTGCTGGAGGTTTAAATAACCCAGGCCCAAGGTCGCGC